GTGAGTACAAACTGTCTTTGTGTCTTTGTGAGGGAATAAATGGTGCAATCAAACACACACACACACACACACACACACACACACACACACACACACACACAATGAAGCACAACAAACTGAAAACAAAGTTGAAATGAGCATTAAGCTTTATGCATGGACAAATGTTTCATGGGGAGACACACACACACACACTCATAACAAGAATCTCAGTGTGTGATAAAGAGGCTGCTTTGTCAGTGAAGCCAGCTCACTCTCTCCTCTGTTTCCTTCACTCTCTGAATACTAAACACTTACTGCTGTTATCCACTGCCAGGAAACTCTGTGTGTGTGTGTGTGTGTGTGTGTGTGTGCGCGTGTGTGTGTGTGTGTGTTACTGACACATTAACCAACCGCTCCCTAGTTGTTCCATCCTAAATGTGTATTTGTGACTGGAGTTTCATGTCTGTGTGTGTTTGTGATCATACTGTGAATTAATGAAAGTGTTTACGACGGTCACTGTGTGTGTGTGTGTGTGTGTTTGTGTGTGTGTGTGTGTGTGTGTGTGTGTTCCCTCTGGGCTTTATATAAATTAGCAGCATGTAACAGGAGAGCAGGGACTTGTTAGGCTGACAAAGCGGCTGTTACCTGAATGTTTATGTTATTTGTTTCCTACTTGTTGATTCTGTTTTTGCTCTTGGCTTTGAGATATTTTCTCTGTTTTCTTCCATTAAGATATTTTGATTTCGCCTCTCGCTGGTTGTATTTGCATTCAGCCTGCCTGCATATTTAAGTTGTGCATAGTGAGTTTGCAGGTCTGTTTTCCCCAGAAACAACAAACATGCACTGTGTTTGTTTTGCAAAGTGGGATACACAGACATTCAGCACTGAGACGTTCATGAATATAAACTTCAAGCACAGCTCTTAGGTTTGCAGAATCAGTCAGCCAAAGTGTTCTTTGTGCTTTACAGATGAGATGTTTTTGTTTTTTGGTTTGTCTTAGCGTGTGACAACATGATGCTCTTTTCTCATTAGCTGCTTTGATGCAGAGTGATCATCACAGAGCTTGTTTGTATAAAATATCTTTGTCGACATATCTGTGAACGTGTTTTTAAGAGGAATAAAAAGATGGACGTCCAGAAGCTGCAGAAAAATGTGTCACAGTGAGGGAAAGTTGGGATTACTTTGAATCGCACAAACACATCTTATTTGTGCAATATTAAGGAAATCCTATAAAAACGTTAGCTCCTGTGAACGTTATGTTATCATTTATCTCGGCTGTCTTGTCGTCCGCCTCTTCTCTGTCCTTCCTCCGTCTATTTTATCATCTGTATTATATTTCAGTGTCGTTCAGTATTTCTCTGTCTGATTACTGAACCGCTGCCCTCGGACCATGAAGGCGGTTACCCTCCTGCTCTCCTCTCCTTGTCATTTAACACCCCTGTCCTCCTCCTCCTCCTCCTCCTCCTCCTTCTTTCTCCATCTCTGAGATTTAATGGTGACATCGGTTTGTGTCGGTCAGCCCACTTCAGATGATAAAATCACTGATCTTTCTGATTGGAGGACGAACCTGTAAGAACGTCAACAAACTGTCTAGAACTGAGCACATTAATGTTAATCCTTAATTATGTATGGACATTCATTCTTTAAAATACATTTGCAGTGTTGACATTAATGAAAAAATAAGAAAGACGACCTGAGCGAGAGCATAGCACCACCTGTACTTAGACAGCTCATTGAATAACAAGCCAAATTAACCGTCTCTGACCGGGAGCTTTTATTTTGAAATGCTGCCTGACCTACATGAAGGTACTTCCTGAGCTTTAAGTGATTGAAGCCGGTTATGAAATATCAAGAAAAGGTTCTATTATTTGTAGATTTTCTATACAGACTCTTGGGTAATGAGTTTTCCTCACGGCCTCTTAAGAACTCAAAAGTGATGTTTTCGTAGTTTTGTAGTTCGATACCGGTGTTACGGTTTAAAAAGTGACCATGTTATCTTGGGACTTTAAGCCGAAATGTCTCTGGTCATCTCTATTACAAGAAATGTGAAGATGGAAAGTGTTCTTACAAAAGCTTTTTTAAGTTTCTTTATTGTAATTAAAAAAATATATTCAGTCACCAATTAACACGGTCACTCTTCACACTGTAACACCGGTTAGTGTTAATTTTACATTTTGTTTTTTAATTGTTAAGAAAATTAACTCATTAACTGCCATCGAAGTTAACGTCTCTTTACTGATTAACGGTTAACAAAGTAAAACGTTTTTGATGATCAGTGCCCACCTCTGAATCCGTCCAATCAGACGAGATCATTCTCACAGTCTTCACTTAGATTAAGGGGTCGAGACATTTTGTAAATATTTCTTCCATATTGGCAAAGTGTTCATTTGTATGTGCAGCTGAATAACCTCCTCTGCTTCATTTACACTTCATCTCACTGTTTCATATCTTATCACACGTTATTACCTCTGAGAGAACAAGCTCATCTAGTCGAGGTGTGTGTGTGTGTGTGTGTGTGTGTGTGTGTGTGTGTGTGTGTGTGTGTGTGTGTGTGTGTGTTTCCGTATGTGAAATATATGTTATGTCAGTTATGTCACTCATACTAAATTAAACTTTTCTGTGGTTGCATTTCATCAGCTACATAATGAAACAGTCCGCCCACAGGCCTCTTGCTTGCAGCAGGTTCACCTGCAGTGTAATGTGATCACACAGTGAACTCGTCTTTATGAAGCTCATAATGTTTCAGATTGTGTTGACACCACAGAGCGGTAATACACTGATGATATGTTACACTGAAGTTATGAATGAATCCTTGAGTAGAAAAGTCCGTTTTCATCAGCGCTCCTTGTATCTTCTCTCTAATGATGGACTGATGTTTCCAGCTGTGTTTTTAGGTTTTGATTCAGGTTTGGAATAAATATCTATTTTAAGACTCACACAGCGTTCATGCAGAGAGCGTCTGAATCACTACCCGGCCTCTTCTTAATCATTCAGGCCGACTTTGCTTTGAGGCTTTCATGTTCCCTCTTTGCATCCTGACCCTCTGTTTGCAGAATACAGACGAGTGAGCCTGCAGGGATTCAGCCCATAACCTCCAGGGACTAAACAATGTGACCGTTTTTTAATTTATTTGTTTACGCTGCTTCTTAACCAATACTCCAATCTGTCACTTCACTGAACAACACGCGCTGAAACACAATCAATATCTCTCTCCATTAGGGATATCGGCTGTTCCTCCTATATCCAAAAAGTCATAAAATCAATGTGTCCAGTTTGAATTTTTTTATTTTAAACAGACAGGAGAGAGAGAGGGGGGGGGGGAGAAAATCAGGGTAACAATTGCATTTTATATGAAGAGCACATTTCATACAAATGTAAACTATATGTGCTTTACAGAAGACACAAATAAACAGAATTAAAATCATTAAAACATGAGCAGATAGATTCAAAACCACATTTCTAAAAAAGGACCCTGCACCGTCCTGTACAACACACACACACACATTCACCTGTTCCTATGTACACATACATACATGTATGTAAACAAACACACACACACACACACACACACACACGCACATACACTCAAATAAACTAGCAGCCAAATGTACGAGAGAAAAGCAGCAATAAGGGATCGACGTCTGCTCTTAAAGAAAACTTTAATATGGTGTTTATTTCTCTTCAAACGTACATTTGCTACGTTGCTATGGTGATCAAAACAATAGTGGAGAAAATAGCTACTTTTTGGACGTGCAGTGTGTTTCTATCTGTCCACTGTTCAGTAGAAAGCTCTGATCTTTCTCCTTCTCAGGAGGAGGAGACGAGCAGCACAGAAGAAGAAGAAGAGTGGTACTGTGTGTGTTCATGAAATCCTCGGGGGGGGGCGACGGGACTTTGGAGAGTTTATGGGCTCGTCCAGGAGCTGCAGATCTTTAACGACCGCTTCACAAATGCGATACACATTTTCAAACTGTTGGACAGTTCTTATCAAATTAGAGATTTCTCAACGATGTCCCGGTAGGTCTGTGAACTAGAGCTCAGGAAAGTGGGACACCGTTTGTTGTGATCTGACTTTCACTCCTGAACCCAAGTTTACATTTTTTTTTCACTTGAGCGCCCCCTGCGTCCTGTCTGAGAGGCCCTTTAGGCTGTAACAGATAAGGCCATGTAGAGATAGTGCGCTTTTTCCTTGTAACTCGGTTGTGCTGCTACGCTTTGCTGGTCCACAATGATGTAAAAACAATCTACAGTGTTGTCAAAGAAAGGGAGCATGTCTCCCTGCAGGAACACTTATACCAGCCCTCTCCCGGTGTAGAAATCTGTAATCTGTGCACATCGTCTTCTGCAGTTGCAGGATTTTAATAAGAAACCATATTTTTGGTATACAGGGTAATAAGTCCACAGAGAAAACTAAAGGTGGAGATGTCCTGCTGATTGAAACAAACAAGAAACACAGTTGTAGAAAACTATTAAAAATCCATATCTAGGCTACATGTCTGTATTGCATATTTCTATATTTTTCTCTCTTATCTGTATTATTATTGTCTCCTGTATATTATTTTACATTGAATCCAAGTCTATTTGAAATGTCAGCGCATTGAAGTATATTTGAATCTGTTTGAACCAAACCTTGTTGTGATGTTTAAAGTCTAACGTCGACATTATCAAGTTTTTAAACGCTTCACTGTCTCGTTTCTCGACTGTTCAGTTTCCCAAATCTCACCGCTTTACCGACTTCCTGTTTTATTTCAACACAGACAGCACTGAGTGTGTGTGTGTGTGTGTGTGTGTGTGTGTGTGTGTGTGTGTGTGTGTGTGTGTGTGTGTGTGTGTGTGTGTGTGTGTGTGTGTGTGTGTGTGTGTGTGTGTGTGTGTGTGTGTGTGTGTGTGTGTGTGTGTGTGTGTGTGTGTGTGTGTGTGTGTCAAGAACCATCGTGTGGTTACTTTCCTGAGTGTGACTCCCCTCGTGTGTCGCCTCTAATAGATCCTGCCTGGATACAGAGACACAGAGGGGGGGCGGG